GAGATAAGAATTATATACATATATATATATATAATATTTATTTTGGATTTCAAATTTTTTTATAATTTAATCCATAACAATTTTTGCATTCAATTCACAAATGCTTATATTGTTTACTTTGGCTAAAACCCTATTTTGGTCTCTTATAATAATTGTTTGTTTCAATTTAGTTCTACTTTTATTTTTGGTTTCAATTTGGTCCCAAATAAATTAATTGGTTTCAATTTGGTCCCAAATATATTAATTGGTTTCAATTTGAGACTTCCGTCCAAATTATTTAAACGGAATTAACTTTTGGCCACGTGGATACCACGTAGATGCATACGTGGATGCCACCTACGTGGTATCCACGTGGATGATAATTTTTTTGAAAATACCTGGGCCCAGAACGACCCGTTCTGAAACCGGAACGGGCCATTCTGGTTGCACTTTTGATGTGTTAATTTTGCATATAATGGCAGAAACTTTAGTAATAGCAATAATCCATAATTTTATGGGAGATTCTAATACTTTTGATGAAAAAAAACTTCTAATTTACATATAACCTAAGATGTCCTACCTTAAGAGATTTTAGGTGGTATACTGATAATTTTATAAGTATGGTTCTAAAAAGAGTAGATTGTAAAGCAACTTCTTGGAAACAATGGTTATTGCAAGACTACCTCCTGTTTTTGCTATTAAGATAAGAGAAAGAATAACTCAAAATTATCTTAACACTCCTTTGCATGAATTAACCTACGGAAGAATCATTTCTGCTACTAAAAATATTGCATTTGAAATCTGTAATAATATTAAATTAAAAAACCAAATAAAAAAGAATAAAGAAAGTGAAATAAAAGAACTAGGTAATTTTGTGATCAATATGGATATGAAAGTTTAACTCCTATTTCTCACATTAAAATAAAATTTATTAAAAAAACAAAGATATCTTCCAAGAAAGTACCATAAATCTCCTTGTGAGACCTTTAGAAAAAAGAAGCCTTTTAAAACAAGTATACTACAAAAAAAATTGGATTTAGCGACCACTAAAATCGGTCGCTAAATTGCTAAAATAGGTCGCTATTTGCCTTAGCGACCGAATTTAAGTAGTCGCAAAAATCCTAGTCACAAAGCTATATATAGCGATCAAAAATTTTCGGTCGCTATTTAGCGACCGAAAATTTTGGTCTATGTGTGATTCATGAATGTATGTCCAAAAACAAATATCAAATAGTAGTAATAAAAGAAAATTGAACATGGTAGATTCGGCAGGGAATTGAGCTGGTCTTGGGAAGCACTTCTGCAACCCATGTATGCGAATGGAACATGAGAATTGGTATGCCCTACTCAAGGATTTATTAAATGTGATATGGATGGTAGTGTTCTAAGCTCTCCAAGATATACTGCATGTGATGGTATCCATCGAGATAGTTTGGGCACATTTTTCGGTGGTTTGGCATCTTATATTGATATTCTTATCGTTATGTGTTGAACTAGTTGCAGTGAAACATGCACGTGAAGTAGGTTGGAATAGTCTTTGGCTGGAATGTGACTCTATGTTGATTTTGGTTGCTTAAGAGAATCCATCCTTGGTGTCTTGGATCATTAAAGGTGCGGTGGCATAAATGTCTCTCCTTATGTGCTCACATGAGATTTCATATATCTCACTTTTTTAAAGAAGGAAATCAACCTGTAGATAAATTTGCTAACTTCGCTTTAGCTAATTGTTTAGTGTTTGTCTCGTGGGATACTTCACCAGCTTTTGGAGGCATCAGGATTCTCAGCAGACCAAGAATTCCAGTACCCTTCCCTGATCCCTCTGGAGATTACATTGTTCTCATTGGAGATTGGTACAAATCCAACCACACGATAATTACACTTGTGTCTTTCTGTTTTTCACATTTAGATATATAGCAGCTTTAATAAATTTAAGCCCAATTTTGTCATAATTTTTTAGCCCTGACCAAAAACATCTTATATCCACTCTTTCTTTATTTTGGACGTGCCTAGTTCACACAGTCCCACACCGCCGCTTTCTTTGAGTGAGTGGCAAGTAAAACCCATTATATATGCATTTTACTTTTAGTTTTTTTAATTTTACTTTACTTTGCATAACTAATGATTTTTCAAGAATTATATATTATTTTAAAATAGAAGTAATATGCGATTGAGACGGATCTTGTGAAGCAGTATTCATGACTCATGCGCAGACTGCAATACTGCAGTGACTTGGTTTGGTGGCAATCTCACAGGCTTCTCATCATTTCTTTATATTTTCTATTTGTTTATTTAAATTAAGGAGGAATTTATAACTCCTCAATTAAAGTCTCTCTTTTAATCTTTTTGAATCCCTATAAATATACTATTCTTATCATTTTAATTATCCGATGCATATATCAGGTGTCTCCAGCCTTATATGGAGACAGTAAAACGAGATTAACTGGCTTTTGGAAAGTAAGGAATGCAACATATTATTTTTCTAGATTATTTCGTGTCTGAATTAATTTCTTTAATGATTTACATATTTTGTGGTAATGAAATATATACTCTTAGGTCCAAGGAGATCAAAAATCTGCTGGATGCTTTAATGTGCTGTGCCCGGGTTTTATCCAAGTCCATCAAACTGTTGGCTTTGGAACTATCCTTGAGCCTTCTCAAACTGGATCGACAATAAAATTATATTTAAATTTTATAATCGAACAGGTAAATTTTTTTTTTT